AGCTTCCTCCGCAAGTGGTGAGACTTCAACTGCTGAACTTCCTTCATCGAGTCTCTGATGACCCCCCCAAAGATAACCTTAGACCCTAAACCCTAAATCCTGCAGGAGCTTCGGAGGTCTCCGGAAGCCCTACATAAACTTCGAACCCCAAGCCATCCCTGAAGCTTTGAGGCCCCCCAAAACACCCTAGAAGCCTTCAGAAGTATTAGTGCCATGCTAGTTTAGGGTTTACGGGTTCAGGGGTGTAGGGTTTAGGGTTTGGGGCCCTTGGCTCCTTCAAGCCCCTTGCAAACACGCACCGGATTCCGAGGTCGGAAGCCCTAAACTCTGAACCCCAACCCCCAAACCCTAAACCCTAAACTCTGAACCCTCAACCCTAAATCGTATCGGTTTTCAGGAAAGGATTTTGTCATCCCGAAAGCCCTAATCCCATGGTGCAACCTTTGGTGAAACACTTAGGAATCCCAACCCCCCGACCGCCAAGACCCTTGAGCACCTCGGACTTCATATGCGCTTGATGGAAGGTGTAAGGTTCTAAGAGGCTGTGTGGCATTTCATCTTCCCTTGAGGGTTCTCTAGAACTCCTGATTGCCCAGAATCCGGCTGGAAAATGGCGGCTTTGCTATCGATAGCCCCGTAAAGCCACCTGACAAACCCCTTCGAAAACCCTCGATTCTACAGATACCGTAACCCCTAAACCTTAAATCCTAACCCTAGAAGAACCCCCAAATTCCAAACCCCCAAACTCCAAACCCCCAAACTCCAAACCCCTAAACCCTAAACCCTAAACCCCTAACTGCCGGCTCAGATCCTGCAGCTGGAGATGATGGAGTCGCCCCCCACCCAGCCGAAGCCGCCCTGGAGGAGGGACCGGTAGGGTTTAGGGTTGTTGAGGGTGTAGGCTTTTGGGGTTGAGGGTTTAGAGGGTTTAGGGTTTAGGCTTCAGAGTTTCAGGTTTAGGGTTCAGGGGTTTAGGGTTTAGGAGTATGGGGTTTAGGCTTCAGGGTAAAAAGTGTGGTGTTTAAGTCCTAGCTTCGAAATCCAAAGCAATAGAACAGGTCTCGGATTTCTGAATTTCAGGGTCTTGGATGTAGTGGCCTGTGTACGAAGCATCGGGATCCTACCCGGCTGCAAGGATCGGGATTCTACCCTGGAGGGTATACCCCAGGCTCTCTCGTTTTCTGACACTCGCAAATTTTGCTTGGTGTGCCTGCAGCCGTGAATCCTAAAACCTCGAAAACCCTAAGCGCAAAGTCCGAAATCCTAAACCAAAGCCCTACTTCAAGGATCGGGGGACTTAGTAAAAAAGGCTACAGGTAGAGTTATATTCAGGCACCATTTGGGGTGCTTGTAGCTCTAGTTGCAAGCTACGTGCCAGGTCCCTTATCAAATCCAAAAATGCACATCCTAAACCTTTAACACCCTAAACCCTAAACCCTAAACCTTAAACCTTTAACTTCTAAACTTGACGTCCAAAATCCAGGAACCTTTAAAGGGACCCGGAAAGGAACCCCAGCAGGCCCGTGACGATGCTCAGCCGGGCTAGCTCCGAGGGGCGCCTGCGCCCGGGGAGCTCAGCCAGCGGGGCGCCTGGAGTTCGGGGGGCTAAAGGGTTTAGGGTTTTAGGGGGTTTAGGGTTTAGGGTTTAGGGTTTAAGGTTTAGGGTTTAGGGTTTAGGGTTTTAGGGGGTTTAGGCGGGTTTAGGGTTTAGGGCTTAGGGTTCAGGGCTTAGGGTTTTTCGGGTTTAGGGTTTAGGGTTTAGGTTTTGGGGTTTCGGGTTTAGGGTTCAGGGTTCAGGGCTTTGGCTTTAGGGTTTAGGGTTTAGGGCGGTTCAGGGTCCTACAGGGGTGCCTTTGTAGGGTTCCTTTAAGAGTTCCCGAGGTCCAGAGTAACTATACGTAATTGTTTTTGCGATGGCTACTTGAAGGACCCAAGGGCTTTGGTCTGTTACGGGCGTGGGGTTAGGGTTCAGGGATGTACCACCTGCGAGCTTATTGTAAGCCCATGGGGGTTCGGGGTTTGGCCCTGGGTATGATGATGTACGTTCCGCTTGAATAGAAGTAAGCAGTTATCATGTAAGGTCCATGAATCTCCAAGTACAAGCGCCCTTCACCGGGAGCCCTGAACCTTCAGCGCTAAACACAGAGTAAGCCCTAAAACCCCCAAGCCCAAACCCGAACCCTGAACCCTAAACCCTAACCCCCCCCAAGCCCTAAGCCCGAAAAACCCCCCAAATCCTTAAATCCCAAGCTCTGAGCATCCCAGCCAGGCCTCCACTTAGCGTCTGCTGGGGCGCTGCTGAGCATGTCCCGAGACCACGAGGCGCAGTTTTTTGACGGCCTATCATAAGCGGGGTACGTTTTTTTGTTTCCTAACCTTGGCTCTGGTCTGGGGCCCTTGCTAGGGTTTCCCTAGGTTGCTTGAAGGGCTACTCTTAGCATACATCGGCTGCCTTGCGGGTTTCTAACGTGGGTGTCTCAGAAGGAAGTCTGAGTACCTCGTGCCAAACCTCTAGGGTTACAGGAGCAGAGCACGACGCCGACCCCAAGACCTGAACCCCAATCCCAGAGCCCCAAGCAATCCTGCATTCTACACCCCAAAACCTAAACCAACCCTAAACAAGCCTGAACACTAAGCAACCCTACACTTTATTCAGACATCAAAACCTAGGCGCAAAATCCTAAACCCGAACCAACTACCTAGACGCAAGAATCCCTAATATGAACCCTGAACCCCTATAAACCCCCAAACCCTAGACCCCTATAAAGCCTAAACCCAAAACCCTTGTAAATCCTAAACCCCAAACCCTAAACCCCTGTAAACCCTAAACCCTCAATCCTAAACCCTAAACCCCTATAA